TTTGCCTGTGTTTGTCCCCCAGTCTAATGTGAACGGGTACCTGACGTTGCAGTTTGGTAAATGAAGACGAGCGAATGCAGTATCGGAGCCTAGGTGTTCAGTGAGCTGTATCCCCACTGCCGTCGAGCTTGTGGGACCTAGAGTGTATAATCTCACTATCCCCTTACTCCACCCCCCCTACCCCCTCTCCCTACCCCCTACCTTCCTAACCCCCCAACATGACTGTAGGTGTTGGCTATAAACTGACTAACACAGAAGATTAAGATTTACTCTGCACAACACTCGCCAACACGGTCTGGTCCACCATGGTACCGTATGTGTGTATGTGTGTGTGTGGGGGGGTACTGTATGTATGTATGTGTGTGTGGGGGGTACTGTACATGTATGTGTGTGTGTGTGGGGTACTGTATGTATGTGTGTGAGGGTACGTATGTATGTATGTATGTGTGTGGGGGGTACTATGTATGTATGTATGTGTGTGTGTGGGGGGATTCCAGTGTGTAGGAGGGGGGGAGTTTCAGGTTATATATACAAGTGTGTTGGAGTTCACTTATGCATGTGGGTGTGAGGGGTTTTCTGTGTGTGTGTGTGTGTGTGTGTGTGTGTGTGTGTGTGTGTGTGTGTGTGTGTGTGTGTGTGTGTGTGCGTATTTAATGCGACAGCTCAGCCATCACCGGACCAGCTAGTTGTAAAAGTGGGGGTATGGAAGGTGAGTCTGCCTTCACCTGGATAAAAGAGTTGCGGGGCTTTAGATGTCAAGATATGCAAATTAGGTGTCCGCTACCTAATTAGCATATAGTGCATTTTCTCACTTGTTGCCGGCGCTATAACTCAACCATCGTTAGTCAGACTTGGCTCAGAGTTGTTGCAGGGGCAGACTGTGACCACACCTGAAGGTTCATGGTGTATTACAGGTGTGTGTGTGTGTGTGTGTGTGTGTGTGTGTGTGTGTGTGTGTGTAGTGAATAATAATAACGTAGGGTTTATTGAAGGAATATATAGGAGCCAAAGATTAATAACAACACAAAGATGAGAGGACATAGATTGCATACGGTAATACTGGGGAGTGTGTAGAGCCAATTAACCAGAAGCTTTCATTACTAAAAACAACACAGAGGGAAACATGGAGTGAAGCTTCATGTTACAGCATCTACAGAAGGGTGGACAGGTGTACGTGGGCGGTTGGTCGTGGGTGGCGATGATAGACAGGTGTACGTGGGCGGGTGGTCGTGGTGGCTGTGATGATAGATAGGTGTACGTGGGTGGTCGTGGGTGGCTGTGATGATAGATAGGTGTACGTGGGCGGGTGGTCGTGGGTGGCTGTGATGATAGATAGGTGTACGTGGGCGGTGGTCGGTGGCTGTGATGATAGATAGGTGTACGTGGGCGGGTGGTCGGGTGGCTGTGATGATAGACAGGTGTACGTGGGCGGGTGGTCGGGTGGCTGTGGTGATAGACAGATGTACGTGGGCGGGTGGTCGGGTGGCTGTGATGATAGACAGATGTACGTGGGCGGGTGGTCGGGTGGCTGTGATGATAGATAGGTGTACGTGGGCGGGTGGTCGTGGGTGGCTGGATGATAGACAGACACGTGGGCGGGTGGTCATGGGTGGCTGTGATGATAGATAGGTGTGTACGGGCGGGTGGTCGTGGGTGGCTGTGATGATAGATAGGTGTACGTGGGCGGGTGGTCGTGGGTGGTGGAGAACGAGGAGATCTCACCTGGTGTTTAGCCCGAGTTTTCATCATTATGTTGTTGTGTTCTTGTCCCTCCCTCCCCCCTTGTTTACACCACTGGGCCCTAATTCATCAGGTCCACCCCATACTGTTCTTCATTTTTTTTTTTTTGTATTTTGGGTTAAATTAATATTGTCAGTTTTGTATCAATCGTGGAAGGGTCCACACACACACACACACACACACACACACACACACACACACACACACACACACACACACACACAACACATAATTAACCTCTAATGATCGACAAGCTTCAGTAGACCACAATGTAACTACTCATTAGACGATAGCATTTCTAGTGTTAAATTAATAATCTTAATAACTGGAGTAAAACTTGACATATAAAGTTGTTGTTGTTGTTGTTGTATATTGATGGTAAAATACAATAGCCGGATTATAACCCAGTAGAGATTCACCTATTTACCTGCTTATTAACATCACACTGACTCATCACAATACCTGGCTGGCGTGTGAGCTCACCTGCAGTAATTATACATAAATTATTAGTTTCATCGCATGTAATTAATAACAGGAATATATTTTATTTACACATATAGTAACGGTAACATAACAATGAGAAGTGTCAATGATGTTATTATTATTCACTCTGTATTTTTTCGAATAAATAAACTGTTTCAATATCCAAACAGTTCTTTTTTATTTAGCTGATAAATACAAATACAGTAAAAGCCTTTTCTTCTTCGAGGTAGGACAAGTACAGGAGGTTTAACAATAACCCGTTAAGGTACGATAACCATAATAGGGTGGCCGCGACAGGAGGAGGGTGATGATGGTGGCGATAAACGATAATTACCATCGGCGTATGAGACCGTCTATTGATTACCCCGGATATTCTGGCAACGATGGCTACTTATATAAAGACATAGGGGGTCCGTGTTAGGGGATAGTAGTGATGTAGGGAGCAGACTGGTTGGACAATGGCGTGAGTGGGTCTTAAAATGGCTCAATATGGCGAGACATTTGTTATGGCTAATGATTGGTTCAGTATAGGGAGAAATTTCTTTTTATGGCTCAAGATATAGGGATGGTTGGGTAAAAATGGCTCTATATGTCTTAGAAATGGATATAAGCTGGTTAAATATGTTAATTTTATTATTATTATTATTATTATTATTATTATTATTATTATTATTATTATTATTATTATTATTATTATTATTATTATTATTATTATTATTATCATTATCCACCACCAACCAGTCATACTCTTTACCTCACTTCACACTAAATTATTACGACCCAAACTTCCAACAACTCGGCATCATTTTCATAACATTAAATTAGTCTAATGTTAACTAGCTCTACATAACGCCAGACACTCCAACGCTAAATATTAACCCGGTCAAATATTCACGAGTCATCATAATTCGCGGAATATTTCGACGCGCCAAAATCATGACCACCTTTTTTAAAACATAATTCTCGATCCAGATTTTTTTTTTTTAAAGTTTGGTGCGTTAATTTTTGTTTCCTTGTTAATGGCGACGTGAGGAGGCAAGCTAATGGCGTGACTTTAGGCTGGAGGCTCGTTAAAGAGGTGAGGTTGGGTGGTATGGAGGCAGAATGGAGCTGAGACTGTAGTATTAATAAGATACATTTGCTGTTTTAATGTTTTTTTGTTTGTTTTTTAATGATCCAGACATGAGAACGCAATTAAAGGGATTGGGTCTCTCTCTCTCTCTGTGTGTGTGTGTGTGTGTGTGTGTGTGTGTGTAAAAATCATGTAAGGAAACTTGTATTCATCTTAACACTGGCCGGTATAACGTCTGGGAATAACTTGAGTTGCCAGTTAATGTCTTATCTCTCGGGAATAGGATCCAGTCTCTTCCTCCCTCACCCAACTTAGTAAGTTTATTAGGCAAGTTGTGGTATTTTTTGTTGTTGTTCAGTGTTGCCAAGTTCTCTCATATGCACTGTTGTTGATTTATTGTCTCTGTCTCTCTCTCTCTCTCTCTCTCTCTCTGTCTCTCTCTCTCGCTGTCTTTTTCAATCTTTATTCCAATAATTCCCTCATGTTTATTAATTTAGTTTATTAATCACACAATTTCGATATTTGGGGTAAAATTGAAAAAAAAATTAATTCTATTCAGTGAAGTTATAATTAATCACAAGTACCGGGATTTTGTTATATACTAAACAAAATCGAAATTGGGTTATAATAAGCGTAATTGGGTTATAATAAGCGTAATTGGGTTATAATAAGCGTAATTGGGTTATAATAAGCGTAATTGGGTTATAATAAGCGTAATTGGGTTATATTAAGCGTAATTGGGTTATAATAAGCGTAATTGGGTTATATTAAGAGTAATTGGGTTATAATAAGCGTGGCATATTATTCAAAATTTCGAAATTGGGTGAAAATAAGGGAGTCTTATTTTTAAATCAGATGGAAATAAGGGAATGTGAGGTGAAGTAAAAGACACAGTGTTGTAATTTTGTTTTTTTGTTTTTATGGAGAAACTAATTGTTTTTTCGTCTTACTGAAGGTTAATCAAGAAAACTACATAATGAAAATCGTCGAGTCAACACCGTAGATTTTATCCAGTTTTAACACTAAGCTGGTTTAGGTTTTATTCTCTGTAAGTCTCCCCTTGTCAATGAAAGAAAAAAAAACCTTGATTAAATTTTGTGTTTTAGCTCCACATTTACACCTTAATCACGCAGGGTGGGTCATCACCTGCTCTGGCACAGTTCTTAATTACACCTGACCCCTTCCCTATGTGAGGAGGTTAAAGGTGTGTTATTATCCGGTACAGTAACATTGTCATAGGCTCCAGTTTTTCATTGTCTGGTAACATTGTCATAGGCTTAGGATGTGTCTTTATCTGGTAACGATTTTATAGGGGTAAGATTTGTGATTTTCTGGTGACATTGTTATAGGCCTTGGGTGTGTCGCTCTATGGTAACTTTGTCATAGGCCTAGGGTGTTGTCATTATTGTCATAAGCTGGGTTACACTGTTTGGTAACACTGTCATGACCTTAAGTGTAATGATAGATCTAAGGTGCGTCATGATTTGGCACCACTGTAACAATCATCTAGTAACAGCGTAACAGCTAAGAAGTGTACAATTATCTGGTAACACTGACACAACAATGAGGCGTACAGCACAATGGTCTGGCAACATTTCCCCATTAATTTTTATCTTCAGACAGTAAAGATTGAACACATGTCATAATGAACCTCAGGAATGAAGCTTCGAACCCAGTCTTCTGTAATCCGGTTCACAAACACATATTGTTGCAACACATTTAATTAATACATAAACATAAGCTAACACAATGGTACTAATTTATATATATACACGTATATTTTTATGCCTTTTACTGTCCGTGAAATTATTGTAAATGCTTAAGTTCCGACAGCGAGAAACAACTTTTTTTCAGCAGTGAGTTTCTGAGACGCTTCGAACTTGAGCGACACAGTGAAGAATTTTCACCTTTTTTGATGTTGTCTCTTGTCGCGTCATCTGTTGTTCGTCAAAGAGTCTTTCAGTAACCTTGAATTTAATTACTCATTCAAGTTTGAAGATTGTTGTAGAAGGTAAATGAAGTGTGATTTTTGTTCAAGGTGTCGCGGTTCTCTGGAGACTAAAATTAATGTTATACTGTACATTGTTGTGTATCAGAAGGGCAAATTTGACTATTTGGGGAAGTTTTTATTTTTGCGATTTTTATTTAAATGTTTCACCTCTGTTTCGGTTACTTGGTTTCGTAAAGTTTCGCTCATATACAGGATTAAGTAGTGAAGGTATTGTTGATTTTGTCATAGAAAAAAATTCATGCGATTGGTATGGAAATCTATTAAGGCCGTGGGTATACATTTTCTGAGACACCCTGTATTGTTTGATCCGAAGCAGTGTGTGTCGTTGCCTCAGAGAGTTACTGATACACGTCCTCGGGGTCTCGATGCTTCGGGGTGCTTGTTCGACGCATGAAGCTGAACACGCTGTTAGTTTTTTTATCGGGGGTCAGATCTGTGTCGTGGTTTAAAGGGGTGAAGTCGTTGGCCATTATGAACACCGAGTCGTCTTGTTCGTTGTTGTACACGTCCAGGTGCTGCTGCTGCCCGTGGTGGGGATAATCAGGTGTCAGGAGACCGTGGTAGCTTGGACTGAGGTCGTTGTGGTGGTAGAGGGCGTGGTCGTCTCCTGGGTGTCGTTGGGAGTGGTTCCTTAGATTCTGGTCGTGGTCATGGCGGACGTGGGAGGTGTAGTCGTCCCGCTGGCGTCGTTGGTGGTGGTGGTGGTGGTGGTGGTGGTAGTAGCAGCAGGAGACGCGGGGTTCCTCCTGGTAGTGGGTGAAGGTCTGGGTGCTCTGGGTGCGGTAGTGCTTGGCTTCGAGGCCGTCCTGAGTGCAGCACCACGAGTGTCGGCGACCGTAGGTGACCCTCGCCACCAGTCTGCCTCGACCTGTGTGTGTGAAGCGGAGGTGAGGTGTTGTCTGGCTTACCTATTGTGCGTACACCTGTTAGTTTGATGAGATAGAATAGCAGAGCCTAAGATAATCTGTTCTCCTGCTGATAGTGAACATAAGCTATATCTCTCAGACCGCTATAGACACGCTGCCCGAGAACTCCCCAGGTTTGGTTAGGTAAGGTAATGGGAATCAGGTCAAGTCAGGTCAGGACCACGCATATGATCTACACAGACAAATACAAAGTATGTAATTATTATCAGATTTAACCTAACTTAACCTAACTGGGGGGCTCAAGCTGTTACAAGGTCATCAGTGATTAACCCCTAAATTCTGTCTTCAAGTATATATAAACAAACATCACACTCTATATTAAAATGTATAAACTTAATAGTATATTAGCTACTGAAAACCCCCAGAGCTACCAGTAAGTTTGAAACATTAACTGCGCCGCCACAAGAAATCAACAACGTCTGGCGCTCCTCTCACTCTCATAATGACAGGTAAAGTACGTCAGACGATCGTTCGTCACGCTTCTGGCAGCAGTGGCGCTCATTGTTGGTGAATAATGTATGAGAGTTAACAGGAGACGTCAGCGTGGGTGATGGACTGACCGTCTGGGTGGAGGGCGTATGAGGGCGGCCTGGTGGTTGAGGCATCGCGGGCGGAGGCGGACGAGGTGATCCTCTTGAGGCGTGGGGGCAGGCGTGGGTGGTGGCGTGGCTCCCCCAGCGCCTCCACTCGATACTGCTTGAGGTGAACACAGGTATGGGCACCACATTCAGGCTCCCCAGTGTGCGCTCCCCCGCTCCTGATGGGGGAGAAACACTCGTAGGTAACACAGGTATGAGCGCCTCACCTGCTGGTAGAGGAGCATTATTATAATTAACACAGGCAGGAACACTATACCTGCAGGAGGAGGAACACTAACAATTAACACAGGCAGGAACACTATACCTGCAGGAGGAGGAACACTAACAATTAACACAGGCAGGAACACTATACCTGCAGGAGGAGGAACACTAACAATTAACACAGGTAGGAACATCCCACATGCTAGGAAGAAATTACATTATTCATGTAATTAGATCCCCTTCAAGGTGAATAGATTTATAACCCAACTGTGTCTGTAAAATTTCAGACTTCCTTTTTCATCGTTGCAGAGGAAGGGTTAACACAGGCTGGCCTTTGGTCCGACCGTCTATCATTAATTCTTGTTGGCTTACGATTAAGTGTAATTTAGTACATTGGTTACATCAAAATAGTAGTAGTAGTAGTAGTAGTAGTAGTAGTAGTATACAGTAGTCTTTAGTTAAGTTCATGGCTGGTTCTTCTGTGTTTTATGAAGGTAGGTACTGTGTGTGTGGTCATCAGGGAGGGTGTTGGGTGAGTGGTCGTCCCCTCAGGTCACCGCCGTAAATCACCACAGCACATCTGGGTCACATAGACAGGTGGGGCCGGTCACCTCTCCTCCCTCCCCTTTACTGTCACCTCCTCCCCCCCTTACACACACACACACACACACACACACACACACACACACACACACACAGACAAATTAAAGGTGTATATTACCTCCAGTAAACAGGACGGGGGAGGGGGGCAGGTGTTCAGCAGATGACACCTGGCAATATGTCCTATCACAGAGACAATGAACTTGTAGCATCATTTTTACCGTCTCGTTATAGTCTATATGAGTCACCCCCTGTGCTGAGTTATGGCATTTAATTACGTTTTCTTTGATGCAGTTCCCAGTAATTGTTTTAATATTTCGTCTCGTATCAGATTTATATTTTTTTCCTTTTACTTTTGATATTTTTTTCGTTTTTTTGTTTACTTCACGTCAGAGTTTTATGGTGATGGTAGATGTCCCCAACCCCCCTCCCCCCCCCTCGGGCGTTTATCAGGAAAATATGCGACGTCGGTGACTCTGGAACAGCCATTTTGTTCCTGTTTTATTGAGGGATATTTCATAGGAAAGTCAATTGATAGTTTGTAAAAAAAATAACCCTGGTGTGAAACGGTATTATTTTGGGTGCGTCGGACAGCTTAATACACGTCGTTCTTGAGTTATCGACTGGTCAACTTGCTGAGAATTTATTTGTTGTTGCCAGGCGTACGATCAGTCTCCGGCACCAAGGTTGTTATTCTTGTTTGGTTTACAACTTTAAATCATCGGATCACGTGAAATGTTGGCATCCACAGCTTATTTCACACCTTAACCTAACCTAACCCAACCTCACCTAGCCACACCCACAGGTAGCATTAAGAAGTTCAATCACCAGGTGAAATAAGTTTTGAGGTGCTTAATTTTCACGCGAACCAAACCATCAGAGTGAATAATAAACACCGTAAATAATAATAATAATAATAATAATAATAATAATAATAATAATAATAATAATAATAATAACAATAACAATAATAACAATACTAATAACTACAGCAACAATAACAACACTAATAATAATAATACCAATAATTACCTGCATTATTGACAGTAGTTACAGGTAAAATAGAATTCATTGAGCAGTACGATATGTTTTCCCTTACGTTGCCACACTGCCCTTTCCTCCGCCTCCCCCGCCGCCCTTCTCGCTAACTAGTATACGCCTTCAGTGTGGTGGAGGGAGGACACACTGCTGCAGGTCATATACCGAGTCTTAGTTACTCATTATTATTCAAAATATACCAGTGATTAAAAAAATATAAACCCAAGATTAATAAATGATAAATAAGGAATATGTAAATAAAGATAAAATAAGGAATAAATTAAGACAGAAACTCAATAAAAGATGATAGAATAATGAAGGTGAATAATAGAGGAAGGAATGATAAAAATAAAATATATTACGAAAATATATATAAAGAGATTTACAAATAATTTATGAACGAATAAGAATTAATTTTTTATTTATTAACTGAGAGGCCAATAACAACTACAATAACAACAACGCCAATAACAACTACTACAACAACGCCAATTACAACAATAACAACAAACTCGTAGGAATAAAACAAAAGAGGACATATCACCTGAAGCACCACACTACAGGTAAAGGAAGAAAACACTCATTAGCAGTCGTGTCAGGTGAACATTGGGTGCACAGACCATCCCGGCCACAGGATTACGTATTCAAGGAGGAGGAAGAGGAAATGGGGGTGCTGGAGGAGGTGGTTGGAGTTGGGTGATGATGATGAAGAAGGGAGAGGGAAAAGATAATAATAAGAAGAAGTGAAGGAAAAAGACGTAGAGAAGAGGGTGAAGAAGGGATGGAGGAACATGAAAAGAAGAGAGGGAGAAAGGTGAAGAAGAAGAAGAAAAGAAGAAAGAAAGAAGAAGGAAGAGGGGTCAAGAGAAGAAGAAGAAGAAGAAGAAGAACCAACCACCTTACCATGACAAGCCGGGTCGCAGTTGTGTGAGTAAGGGGTCGCCGCCGCCGCTGTTCCTGAATCACTACAGTGTGTGGACGGGGTGTTGTTATTGGAGCCCGTGCCGGAATCCTTGAAGATCTCCACCAGTTCCTTCCCCTCCATCATCTCCTTCGTCAGCGTGGTGGTGGTGTCCTTGGGTAGTGGGGAGGTGGTGTTGTGGTGGTGCTGTGAGGCGGTCTTCTTTCTCCTCTCCTGTCTCCATTGCCACCGCTATGCCTTCTCTCGTCACCACAACTACCTCGTCTTCTACACCTTCTGCGTCTCCTGATGGGGGTGTAAGGGGAGGGTGATGGATGGGTGGATGTGGGGATTAATGTGTGTGTGTGTGTGTGTGTGTGTGTGTGTGTGTGTGTGTGTTTTATTTGGGTCTATCTGGGCTGTTTCTGTGTCTCCTACCACACTCCTTTCCTCATTAAACCAAAACAGAACCATTAACTTCCTCTCAGTTTTATCCTCTTAATAAAATATCTTCAATTAATTCATAAACAAATCTTTAAAAAAAATCTTACTACCGATTCTACTTTTTTTTTTATTAATTTAACTAATGAGAATTTTTTTTAGTGTTACAAAATACTGAAGTTATGATAATCGGTATTTCTTAACCTGTGATTGACGTCCTGTACTGTATGTTACCTATGAATGAGGACCCACACCTATGAAGGACCTGTAACTCACTTTAACCTTACTGACCTATGAATGAGGACCTGTAACTCACCTATGAATGAGGACCTGTAACTCACTTATGAATGAGGACCTGTAACTCACTTATGAATGAGGACCTGTAACTGACCTATGAATGAGGACCTGTAACTCACCTATGAATGAGAACCTGTAACTGACCTATGAATGAGGACCTGTAACTGACCAGACTGACCTGAACTCACTTTAAAGGACCTGTAACTCACCTATGAATGAGAACCTGTAATCACCCAGAATGAGGACCTGTAACTCACCTATGAATGAGAACCTGTAACTGACCTATGAATGAGACCTGTAACTCACCTATGAATGAGAACCTGTAACTGACCTATGAATGAGGACCTGTAACTGTCCTATGAATGAGGACCTGTAACTGACCTGTGAATGAGAACCTGTAACTGACCTATGAATGAGGACCTGTAACTCACCTATGAATGAGGACCTGTAACTCACCTATGAATGAGGACCTGTAACTGACCTATGAAAGACGTCCTGTACTGTAGCTTCCTGAAGGGGTCCCTGTGGAGTACATGATTGGTCAGCTTCTTGTGGGAGGTAGTCTGGTTTGTGGACGACTCTCGACCAATGAGACGCGTTCCCAGCAGCGACAGACGCACCCACCGCCACGCCCTCATCATGAATACCTGTGTGTGAGAGAGAGAGAGAGAGAGAGAGAGAGAGAGGTTAGAACCGTGTTGCACCTCAAAATATCAACTAATTCACCCCGTTAATACAACAAATAAAACAGAATTATTTACCCCGAGAGAAGTAATTCCTGGCAATTGTTTTTTTTTCCCACAGGTTAATGGATTGTTTAATTAACCAAGACTTTACTATTCCACACCTGTGCAGGGTAACAGGCTGGATTAGGTTAGGTTAAGTTAGGTTGGGTTGGGTTAGGTTAGGTTAGTTTACGTTAGATTAACAGATACATACACACAACTCAGGTGGATACACACACACACACACACACGCACACACACACACACACACACACACACACACACACACACACAGATATACATACAGTACATACAAACACAGACAGACGTACACAGACATACACATACAGACACCCAGACAAACAAACACACAGACATACACAAACAAAGACCAACGTACACAGATACATACACACAAACACAGATTAAAGTAGACAGACAGACAGACAGACAGACAGACAGACAGACAGACCTTCCTACAGATGATGTACACCCACGGGTCGACGATCTGGTTGATGGAGGTGAGACGGACGGCGACCAGATCTTGGTAGTGGTCGGCTGGGGTCGTATCTGGTTGATGAAGAGTCGTAACTGGGGGAGAGAGAGAGAGACGGTGAGAGAGAGAGAGAGAGAGAAGAGAGAGAGAGAGAGAGAGAGAGATTGGTGTGTGTGTGTGTGTGTGTGAGTAAGAGAGTGAGATTGGTGTGTGGGGGAGATACAGTCAGGTGTGTGAGATAGGTGTGAGATATAATGCCAGGTGTGTGTGTGGGAGAGTCAACCAGGTGTGTGAGAGGATGAGAGAGAATCGGTTGAGGATGACGGAGTAAGACACTTTGAGTAACCGGAGAGAGATGAGAGGGAAGACACAGTGAGGAAGACACAGTGAGGAAGACACAGTGAGGAAGACACAGTGAGGAAGACATACGGAGGAAGACTCACATCAATAGGTGACCAGGAGAGGACAAACACCACTGTGATCACCACCAGGACAATGACCATCTGCATCTCCAGCTCCCTCTGGCGGGACGACCGATGAGGTGCACACAGCGCCGACCGACAGCATTCTCCCTACACAGCCGCAGACACAGTAACGTTGCTGTGGTGAGAGAGAGAGAGTGAGGGAGGGACGGAGGGGAGAGAGAGAGAGAGGAGGGTGGTGGGGGATAAGGTTATGACACTATATGGGGTTTTGATGTAACATGACACTCAATAACCTGTGCTGGATAATGAGAGGAACAAGACTCAACTGATGACGACGACGTTGCAGATGACCATGATGACGAGGCAGACGATGGTGAAAAAGCCGAAGACGTTGGTGTAGAGGACGTGGTGGAGTGGTGAGGCCCCGGTGACGTGGATGTTGAGGTAACACCATGACCCCGGGTACTGGAGGGCGTACTGGCCTACCCCGAACAGCGGCAGCGCACAGTACAGTACCGAGAACAGCCATCCCCAGCAGGAGTGTTCTGAAGGAGGAGGGAGGAGGAAACACAGCATGTAACAGCATAGTACAGCACTGAGAACAGCCACATCCCCAGCAGGAGTGTTCTGAAGGAGGAGGAGGGAGGGAACACAGCATATAACAGCAGAGTACAACAATGAGAACAGCCACATCCCCAGCAGGAGTGTTCTGAAGGAGGAGGGAGGGAGGGAACACAGCATATAACAGCATAGTACAGCACTGAGAACAGCCACATCCCCAGCAGGAGTGTTCTGAAGGAGGAGGGAGGAGGGAACACAGCATATAACAGCAGAGTACAGTACGGAGAACAGCCACATCCCCAGCAGGAGTGTTCTGAAGGAGGAAGGAGGGAGGAACACAGCATATAACAGCATAGTACAGCACCGAGAGAACAGCCACATCCCTATTGGAGCCATGAGGAGAGGTTATGGAGGTGTGGCCATGGGAGGTGCCAGGGATGTGTCATGGGGAGGTGCCAGCGGGATGTGTCGGGAGGTGCCAGCAGAGGATGTGGCCATGGGGAGGTGCCAGCTAGGATGTGGTCATGGGAGGCGCCAGCGAGGATGTGTCACGGGAGGTGCCAGCGGGGATGTGTCATGGGAGTGCCAGATGTGTCATGGGAGGTGCCAGCTAGGATGTGTCATGGGAGGTGCCAGCGAGGATGTGTCATGGGATGTGCCAGCGGGGATGTGTCATGGGGAGGTGCCAGCCAGGATGTGTCATGGGGAGGTGCCAGCGAGGATGTGTCATGGGGGAGGTGTATGGTGTGTGTGTGGTCATATGACTTCACGGTTTTCAATACTAGACCATTAGTGATGCCGTTTGAACATCCTGTTAGGAGGAACAGCGTGGGGGAAACTGATTGAAACAGCAGGTCAAAACAGCAGGTCAAACAAGAGAGAGAGAGAGAGAGAGAGAGAGGATTCATTCTTTAATAATATTGTAGATGCATTGATAAAGTGCATAAGAGAGAGAAAGAGACAGACAGTGGACAGACAGTAGACAGGCAGACAGACAGTAGACAGGCAGACAGACGTACAAGACAAGACGTACCACAACACACTCCCTATACTGACCACTGACCATAAAATGTTTACAGCTTACAGACTCAGCACTTCTCAAGGGTGGGGGGAGATGTGTAGGGTGGGGGGGAGGGGGAGATGTAGGGTGTGGGAGGGGACTGTGTATGTATGAGGTGTATGTATGTGTTTATGTATGTATTTATGTATGTGTATGTGTGTGTGTGTGTGTTTGTGTGTGTGCCGAGACAGGATTTGATGGCTATAATCAGAGGGCGAAATATTTACATGAATCAGAATCAACATGAGAAGCTGCCGCATGGACTGGATAACAATGTTGTATAGAAGACCACGACTCAGGGAGGTCTAGGATAAGAAGCGTAGGATTATAGGATTAGGAAGGATGTGGAAGGATGATAGGATTATATAGGGACATTGATCAAGTACGGACTTAGTGACCCACGGACATGATCATAACACAATCACAATCATCCACAGACACGATCAAATACGATCACACAATTACGCTACAAACACGATCACAAACACACACACACACTCCCCACCACGGACACACAATACAATACAATACCTACACAATAACCCACGGACCATACACCACGCACAACAACCAATCACGTACAAGACAACACGTACTTAGTTCTCGTCGGGGTGATGTTCTTGTTGTAGAAGTAGCCATGCCTGATGCCAATAAACCTCTCGACGGCCATGGTAGAGACGAGAAGGTGGGTGACTAAGCTGACCAGCATCATAGAAAACCCGTGGAAATTACACATGGGTACCTGTCCAAAGGTGAGAGAGATGGGAGTGGTGATTAGGTGATGGTTACAGGTAGATACAAGGTGATTATGGGGGTGGATTGGTGATTAGGTGATGGTTACAGGTAGATACAGGTGATTAGATGGTGGGTACAGGTGAGTAGAGAGATGGATTGGTGATTCGGTGATGGTTACAGGTAGATACAGGTGATTAGATGGTGGGTACAGGTGATTATGGGGGTGATTAGGTGAGTCACAGGTGAATAGACACATTAATTGACGATGGTACACAGGTAACTGTGATATAGATTGATCGGTAATTATTTTATAGACAGGTAAATGTACAGGTAAATGGATAAATAATTGATATGCTAATTAGTTGATAATGACGGTGTGCCTTATGCATTGATTTATATGCAAATTAACCAAACTGATATTATATATGTGAGTTAATGAAGGGAAGCATCAGTTGGGGTGGTGGAGTAAGGTATAGACAGACAGACAGACAGAAAGACAGACAGACAGACAGACAAAAACAGAAGCAAAATGATACTGAAGGGAAGATAGACAGATTTTAGACAGATAGATAAACGTAACGAGAGAGAGAGAGAGAGAGAGAGAGAGAGAGAGAGAGAGAGAGAGAGAGAGAGAGAGACTCACCCCGCCGACCCAGGAGTGATGGAGGTATGCCACTAGAGCAGGTGTGGTGGTGATGACTTACCCGCCAGATCGGTCCAGATGAGTGTACTTAGCAACACAAAGAACACAGTACGGGAGTGTTGCGGCCGGGTGCTGGTGTACAGGTAATACAGTGCCCAGATCTGTCCTGTTGGGGCATAACACGTGTACATGTTAATTACAGGTGTGTGTGTGTATGTGTGTGTGTGTGTGTACAACTTGAGTTCATAGTTATAGGGTTAATTTCATCTCACACACGTACAAACACACACACACACACCACACACACACACACACACACACACACACACACACACACACACACACACCACTCCAAATTCCCACCTCTTTCACACTACCCTCCCTTCCCCTTCCCCTTCCCTTCCCCTTTTACACCCCTAATCCTCACCTCCCACACTATCCTCACATCTACCATCCTCCCTCCGCCTCCCACCCATCCAGAGAGAGAGAGAGAGCTCACCTGACAGTAATATATGCGTGGGGCTATGGTACGACATATATAATTTGTGGTGATGTGTTGTAGTGTTTTGTTGACAGCCACCAGGTGTGTTGTGTAATTGACTGTATTGCATCCTACCTGTCTGTCTGTCTGTATGTATGTATGTATGTATGTATGTATGTATGTATGTATGTATGTGTATCTTTCTGTCTCTCTCTCTACTTATAAATGAATCTCTCACGACTGACCCATGAATCTCTCTCTCTCTCTCTCTACTGACCCGCGACGCCACTAAGCGACAGTAAGATGGGCGACACTATCGTAGCTCCGGGCTGCTCCTTGAGGGTGGTACACGACACGTTCACCTCACACTCCACCGTTAGTATAGTGTCCGTCATCGTCTCTCGTCCTTGACCTTTGTGGGTATTTCTTAAGCGCCGTCAACACCGCCCACATGCCCTGTTCTCCGTCACCCACGCAGGACGCCCACGTAGGAGGAGTCAGAGGCATGGTGGTCGGGGTGGTGGTGGTCGTTGTTGAGTTCTGTTGGTGGAGGAGAGGGTGAGAGAGAGAGAGAGAGAGAGAGAGAGAGAGAGAGAGAGAGAGAGAGAGAGATTATTGCTGTTAAAACTCACGTGTTTATCATTAGTAGTAGGAGTAGTAGTAGTAGTAGTAGTAGTAGTAGTAGTAGTAGTAGTAGTAATAATAGAACCTCGTTAATAGAAGCCTCAAATAGAAGCCTAATAAGTAGAAGTCAATATTCAGAAGCATCAATACAAAGACAATTACAGTATTAATATTTTTTTCCCCATAACTAGAAACTCTGTCTGAAAAGCAAAAAATAAAAAAAAGTGGCTTATTCCTGTAATCCAGCCCTCCTCCCCTCCTCCCCTTCCCCCTCCCCTTCTCACCCCTCCTCTCCCTCCTTCCCCATCCTCCCACCCTCCTCCATTGATAGTGTCATCCGCTGGTGAGGGGTGGTGGTGGTAGAGAAGGAGACTGGAGGGGTGGGTGTGGGGTGGGAGGGGGTGTGGGGTGGGAGGGGTGGGGTGAGGGGTGTGGGGTGGGAGGGGGTGGGGGAGGTGTGGGGTGGAGGGTGGGGTGAGGGGTGGGGTGGGAGGGGTGGGGGTGGGAGGTGGGGTGGGGTGTGGGGTTGGGAGGGAGGGGTGAGGTGTGGGGTGGAGGGTGGGGTGGGAGGGGGGTGGAGGGTGGGGTGGAGGGGTGTGGGGGAGGGAGGGGGTGGAGGGGTGGTGTGTGGGGTGGGTGGGAGGGTGGTTGGGTGAGGGGTGGTGGGTGGAGGGTGGTGGGTGGAGAGGTGTGTGGGTGGGAGGGTGGTGTGGGTGAGGGTGGTGTGGGTGGAGGGGTGTGGGGTGGGAGGTGTGTGGGGAGGGGTGTGGGTTGAGGGGGGGGGTGGAGGGTGGTGTGGGGTGGGAGGGTGTGGGTGGGGAGGGGTGGGTGGGGAGGGGGGGTGGGAGGGGGGTGGGGTGGGTGGGAGGGGTGTGGGGTGGGGAGGGGTGGGGGAGGAGGGTGGTGGGGTGGGAGGGGTGGTGGGTGGAGGGTGGGTGGGAGGGTGGTATGGGTGAGGGGGGGGTGGAGGGTGGTGGGTGGAGGGTGGGGTGGGTGGAGGGTGGTGGGTGAGGGTGGGTGGAGGTGGGTGGAGGGTGGTGGTGGGAGGGTGGTGTGGGTGGAGGTGGGGTGGAGGAGGAGGAAAGAGTGAAGTGGCTGTAAGTGGATAAGGTGTACATATGGAAGAGTAAGGAAGTAGGAAGAGAGTGGGAGGAGGTGGGTGGAGGAGTCGAGAGGAAGGAGTTATGGGTATAGTGGAGGTGTCAGTATCAGACCAACACTACACCACTGTCCTAACCCAACCAAAACCCAACCCAAACCCAACCTAAACCCAAACCAAACCCAACCAACCCTAACCTAAACCCAACCAAACCCAACCAAAACCCAACCTAAACCCAAACCCAACCAAACCAACCTAAACCCAGCTCAAACCCAACCCAAACCCAACCAAACCCAACTCAAAACCTAGCCTAAAACCCAACCAAACCCAACCAACCCAACCAAAACCCAACCAAACCCAACTCAAACTCAACCAAACCCAACCTAAACCCAACCAAACCTAACCAAACCCAACTCAAACCTAACCCAAACCCAACCAAACCCAACCAAACCCAACCCAAACCCAAACCCAACCAAACCCAACCCAAACCCAGCCTAAACCCAACCAAAACCCAACCAAACCAACCCAAACCCACCTAAACCCAACCAAACCCAACCAAACCCAACCAAAACCCAACCAAACCTAACCCAAACCCAACCAAAACCCAACTCAAACCCAACCAAACCCAACCAAACCCAACTCAAACCCAACCCAAACCCAACTAAACCCAACCAAACCTAACCAAACCCAACCTAAACCTAACCCAACCTAACCCAAACCTAACCTAAACCCAACTCCAAACCCAACCTAAACCCAACCAAACCCAACCTAAACCCAACCAAACCCAAACCCAACCCAAACCCAACCTAAACCCAACCAAACCCAACCAAACCCAACCCAAACCCAACCAAACCCAACCTAAACCCAAACCCAACCAAACCCAACCAACCCAACCTAAACCCAACTAAACCCAACCAAACCCAACCAAACCCAACCAAACCCAACCAAACCCAACCAAACCAACCTAAACCCAACCAAACCCAACCTAAACCCAACCAAACCTAAACCAAACCCAACCAAACCCAACCTAAAACCCAACCTAAACCCAACCAAACCCAACCTAAACCAACCCAAACCCAACCCAAACCCAACCCAAACCCAACCAAAACCCAAACCCAACCTAAACCCAACCTAAACCCAACCCAAACCCCAACCAAAACCCAACCTAAACCCAACCTAAACCCAACCCAAACCCAACCTAAACCCAACCCAAAACCCAACCTAAAACCCAACCAAAAACCCAAACCCAACCCAAACCAACTCAAACCAACCCAAACCCAACCAAACCCAACCTAAACCCAACCTCAAACCCAACCTAAACCCAACCCAAACCCAACCCAAACCCAACCTAAACCCAACTCAAACCCAAACCCAACCAAAACCCAACCAACCCCAACCCAAACCCAACTAAACCCAACCCAAACCCAACCAAACCCAACCTAAACCCAACCTAAACCCAACCAAACCCAACCTAAAACCCAACCAAACCCAACCCAAACCCAAACCCAACCTAAACCCAACCAAACCCAACCCAAACCCAACCTAAACCCAACCAAACCCAACCCAAACCCAACTCAAACCCAACCTAAACCCAACCTAAACCCAACCAAAACCCAAACCCAACCTAAACCCAACCTAAACCTAACCTAAACCCAACCAAACCTAACCCAAACCCAACTCAAACCTAACCCAAACCTAACCCAAACCCAACCAAACCTAAACCTAACCTAAACCCCAACCTAAACCCAACCTAAAATGGGAGTCATCTGGTCACGTCTCATCATAAACCGGGCTATTTGGTGGTTTAATTGGGTATTTATTGTTCTGGTGAGTGCTGGTGTGACAGAGGGTGGGGTTAATTAGGGAGGAGGAGGAGGAGGGGGGGAGGAAGAAGAAGAGAGGAGGAAGAGAGGAGGAAGGAGAGAGGAGGAGGAAGAGAGGAGGAGGAGGAGGAGGAGGAAGAGAGGAGGAAGAAGAAGAGAGGAGAGGAGGAAGAGAGGAGGAGGAAGAAGAGAGGAGGAGGAAGAGAGGAGGAAGAAGAAGAGAGGAGGAGGAGGAAGAGAGGAGGAGGAAGAAGAGAGGAGGAAGAAGAGAGGAGAAGGAGGAAGAGAGGAGGAGGAAGAGAGGAGGAGGAAGAGAGGAGGAAGAAGAAGAGAGGAGGAAAAGAAGAGAGGAGGAAAAGAGAGGAGGAAGAAGAGAGGAGGAAGAGAGAGGAGGAAGAGAGGAGGAGGGAAGAAGAGAGGAGGAGGAAGAAGAGAGGAGGAAGAAGAAGAGAGGAGGAGTTAATCAATCAGTAACAGGCTGAACTCCCCAAGAAAGTTGTCAACATAAGAGTAATGGTTAATTAATACTCGGAAGTTCTGTAGCCTTAACCCCGCGAGTACGATGACTTAACCCCGCGAGTACGATGACTTAACCCGCGAGTACGATGACTTAAACCCCGCGAGTACGATGACTTAACCCCGCGAGTACGATGACTTAACCCCGCGAAGTACGATGACTTAACCCCGCGAGTAACGATGACTTAACCCCGCGAGTACGATGACTAACCCCGCGAGCATGATTAACCCCGCGAGTACGATGACTAACCCCGCGAGTACGATGACTTAACCCCGCGAGTACGATGACTTAACCCCGCGAGTACGATGACTTAACCCCGCGAGTACGATGACTTAACCCCGCGAGTACGATGACTTAACCCCGCGAGTACGATGACTTAACCCCGCGAGTACGATGACTTAACCCCGCGAGTACGATGACTTAACCCCGCGAGTACGATGACTTAACCCCGTGAGTACGATGACTTAACCCCGTGAGTACGATGACTTAACCCCGCGAGTACGATGACTTAACCCCGTGAGTACGATGACTTAACCCCGCGAGTACGATGACTTAACCCCGCGAGTACGATGACTTAACCCCGCGAGTACGATGACTTAACCCCGTGAGTACGATGACTTAACCCTGACGATGACTTAACCCCGTGAGTACGATGACTTAACCCCGCGAGTACGATGACTTAACCCCGTGAGTACGATGACTTAACCCCTTGAGTACGATGACTTAACCCCGTGAGTACGATGACTTAACCCCTTGAGTACGATGACTTAACCCCGTGAGTACGATGACTTAACCCCTTGAGTACGATGACTTAACCCCGTGAGTACGATGGCTTAACCTCGTGAGTATGATGACTTAACCCCGTGAGAACATGATTTAACCCTTGAGTACGATGACTTAACCCTTGAGGACGATGACTAACCCTTGAGGACGATGATCAACTCCCCTGAGAGTACGATGACTTAACCCCGTGAGTAATGATATCTTAACCCCGTGAGTACGATGACGCACCCCGTGAGCATGATGACTTAACCCATTGAGTACGATGACTTAACCCCGTGAGTACGATGACTTAACCCTTTGAGTACGATGACTTAACCCTTTGAGTACGATGATTTAACCCTGAGAGTACGATGACAACCCTGTGAGTACGATAGCTTAACCCTGTGAGTACGATAACTTAACCCTTTGAGTACGATAACTTAACCCTTTGAGTACGATGACTTAACCCTTTGAGTACGATGACTTAACCCTGTGAGTACGATGACTTAACCCTTTGAGTACGATGACTTAACCCTTTGAGTACGATGACTTAACCCTTTGAGTACGATGACTTAACCCTTTGAGTACGA